AGAGGAGGGAGGGCTTCAGCCAAGATGACTGGCACTGCAGTGAAGAGCTAACATCAGTTCTCAGCATCAGTGTTCACTGGAAGCACTACTCTTGTCGTGGTCTTTCTCTGAAAGTTGTCTGTTGGCATCTTCACCAGTGAGTTCTTGCTGTGTACCCCAGATCAAGTGGCTTCCGACATCAGTCACATACACTTGTTCATATGCCTTTGGATCAGTGGACTTGTACCACGCCAGCCCAACCCCGGCAAGACCCCAGATTCGGGCCAGCCCGTGAAGCAGGCAGCCACGCTCCTGATCTCACCACACGGGTCCTGCGCTCGCTCCGGCAGGGCAGACCAGGCTGCGGCTCATCAGGTTTAGGCCGAGAACTCACGTGTTCTTGGTCAGGCTCACGCCAAGATCAAAGCAGATTTTTAAATAGTCTGAAACAACATGCAGGTGTCTGAAGCACGGAAAGCAGTAGAACCAGGGCCTTGGCTCAAACAAGTGCTTTACCACTGTGCTACACCCTTAGACTTTGAGATCGGCCTTGTAGTGTGTGCAGTCCTGGGTGCGCAGAGAGGGTCCCCCTCGCCGCCGCTCAGCGCTGCCGTCATGCCAGGCCTCGGCTGGCACAGGTGAACTCACGGTCCCCGTGCCACACTGCTGGAAATCCAGGGAGCTGGGCTTACTGGTGCACGCCACCGGGCCCAGGTATTGCTTCAGCAAGCGCACAACTCGTGTTGGACCGTCAGCACCAACCATTTGTTGCTTCTCTGTCCAGCCGCGTCCCAACACCACCTCCAAGAGACCCGTAAGGAGCATCATCGACGTGACGCAGAGCGACTGCTGCTGGACGCTCTTTCCCGCTCACGAATAAGGCTCTTTCCTGGAGGCGCCGGCGCGTCGACGTCGCCCAGGAACTTCGCCGCCGCAGGAGGCGGCTCGGACCACAGCCTAACAATAGTTCTCCCACTAGTCTCGTGAAAGCAATTAGGCTGTTGCCAGGACTTTTTTTCCCAGAGTACGAACTCGGGCACTTTTCTTCTTTTTACTATTAGCGGTCAAACCCAGGGATAAGCCTACCACTAAGCTGCCCTGCTAGTCCGTTAGAGATGGAGTCTCGCTAAACTGCCCGGGCTGGTCTCCGTCGTCCTGCCTCCGCCTCCCCGAAGCTGGGGCGACCGGTGGGCGCCGGCCGCCGGTGGGCGCCCGACACCAGCACACGGCGCGCTCGCGTCCAGGGATCGGCAGCGCCTGCACCCGTCGGGAAACGAACTGCAGCGCAGCTCCAAGGGGCGAGCGCCGCTAGGGCTTCGCATTTTTACCAGGCACTGCCCAAGTGAGACTCGATTCGGATCCCTTCGTGGTAACGGCCCAGCCCAATACCACCCACGGCACCACCCGCTCATCGGCCACGCCTCGCGGTCAGGAGACGCGTCCCGGACCCACACGACCCGACAGAACGGAGCCGGAAGCGGGCGCGTTGGGGGCGGGGCTGCGGCAGCGCGGCGCACGCGGCTTGCGTCATCGCGGCGCGCCCAGCTTCACCTCGCGCCTACGGGTCCCGGCAGTGGCGGGCTGGCGGCGTACGGGTAGGCTCGTTCCGGCGCGCCCATGGCGGTGTGCCCGGCAGCGGCCCTGAACGCTGGCGCCTCCCGCTGCACGGCGAGGAAGGCGGTGGCCGCGCGAGCGCCGGCGGGCGC